AAAGTGATTAAATTGAATGAATAAATAATGAAAAAAAAATCTTTACAATGGCAATAAATATTATTGATGAAAGAATTTGATAGAAACAATTTTATGGAGGCATCTCTTCAGTTGTACCTGTCCTTGAACTTCCTCACTCATTATCATCGTCCATTATCGCTTAGTTCCTAATTTTTAGTCCTTCCTACTCAGATTGTCTATAATTACCTTCATAGCTCACAACTTCGACAATTAAATAAAAGAAAGAAAGTCTGCTAAAATAATTTAAATTATAATCTGATTAAATCTTGCACAGAAGCAACAATTGAATAAAAAAATAAATTAAATTGTCAATAAATACAAGATTCAAAAAATGAAATTCATTATGAATTTCACACAATAATCATTATTATAGCTATTGCAATCATTAACAGATAAATAAATTCCGCATGAACTTAAATTCTTTACGTTATCAACGGAAAATGCGACTTTCAATTTCATGTAAAATGAATAAATAAGAATTGCAAAGATGTTAATCATGTGTATTTATCAGTCAAATAATAGATCTTATCTCTTTTTTTTTGTAAAATTTTATTTCGAATATAATTCAACCTTTAAATTATTGAGAGAGAAAGAGAAGGAAAGGAAGAGAGAAAGAAAAAGGTTAATTATTTCGAAAAAAAATGTAACGATGAGTTTGGATGAATTTTTCTTCTTTTTTTAATTTCCTCTCTGTTGTAAGTATGTGAAAACTATTAGAAGAAGAAGACAGGAAGAGAATGAATGTTGACAATGAAAATTGTACTGAATGGATGGATGGATGGATGAATGAGCAATTTCTGATTCTTTTAATGGTCAGAAAGTTGAATGAAAATGTCAACGAAAGTAATTACGGAGGTAGCAGAAGGAAGGACATTTAGAATGAATCATTTCATACAATTCAAATAAGCATATTTTTTGAGCACTTTCAAAAAAAATGAAGGAGAAATGTAAAATTGTTTCATTTAATGCAAATTTTCTTAGCTAAAAGCTTTTTCTCGTATAATAACTGTATTCTAAGGTCTATTTGTTTATATGAAAAGATCTAACATTTACTTTTCTTTTCATAGGCAAACATAAGAAAGCAATATAAGCCAAGCATTGATATGTATTGCATTGTGAATTAAAGATAGACGAGAAAGTCAATAAAGATTTAGCTAACTGGATATTTACTAACTAACAAGGTCACCATAAATCCGGAATGCAAATAAAGTCTGAATAATTGCAATCCATCGCTGCGGACATTTCCTGAGAAATTACAAATGAATTATCGCGGTGTGAAGAGCACAGGAATTGATAGCAATGAGAGAGAATTAAACCGAAATCGAACATAAATTCTTTTTCTGTGTGTAAACATTAATATTTGTAATGCAATAAACACAGTCATTTCTTCTATAATAAAATTCAATTACTTTAAAATTAGGAAAAGTAAAAAAAATGTAGAAATTACAGTTACATTCTTGGCTATGAATTTTTCAATGATCTCTTATATTTACATTATAAAGAAGTTGCGCTTTCATCAAGTAGACCATGACCTTTTCTTAACCTTTGCTTTTTTAAAAAGATTTCTTAAAATTTGTCTTATTTTATTATTATTATCAATATGTCTATCAATATACTGGACAATAAAAAGATTTTGGCATTGCATAATATTCAATTAACAGCATGCCAACATGTTAAATGGAAGTGCATTGAATACATGCATCTATGAACTGTACACGAAATGCATTGAATGCATGCAACTGTAATCTGCATATGAAATGCATTGAATGCATGCAACTGTAAACTGTATGTTATTTTTCACTATACATTAATAAATAACATGAAAAACTAAATTGAATAGTTA